TTCCATTATGTAAAGGAGGTTGCCCCCTGCCTCCACTTCGTGTGTCTGACGGCTGTGAAGCTCAGGAGGTCGACTGAAAGATGGATTTTAGGGGGATGATCTGGGTTTTGAGCCTGCCAGTGGATGGGAGATTATGCCAGAGAAATGCTAATAAATTCAACTCCACTAGAAACTGCAACTCTTCTTGCTCTCCTTATTCCAGACGGATATTTTCTCTGGAGCACTGTTCATCCAAGTCTCCCTGGGCTGGAACCTTTACCTGTCCACCGTGATCTTGCTAGTGGTGACAGCGGTCTACACCATCGCTGGTAATTATACTGCCTTGATAGCATCACTTTCATCTGGGAGCCTGGGAATGAATAGCTTCCCCCCCACGCATTTAACATTGGTGCATTCCGGGTCCAATCCAAAGCCCACTGAAGTTAATGGAGAGACGTCCATTGATTTGAGTTTTGGATCAGGCCCTTTAGCACCACCTAACTCACAGACGAACAGGGAAATGCTAGGGCTCAGTTGTGTCTCTACAGGGCAGGACTACCGGGCTGCACGGAGAGGGGGTGGAGATGCAGTCCCTGAACTGCAGCATGTGCAAGAAGCATATAGTAATAATGGCTATTACTGTTGCGCAACTGACCCGTTGCATGGACCATTGAACATTTCGCTCCAAGATGCAAACAATTCTCCTTCTCTCCCAGCCTCCCTGAGTTGGACATTGGCCTTTGAAGAGCTCTAGGAGCAGATTGTTTCTCTGGGGTGCTTCTGAGGTAACAGAAGGCCCCTTGGTCCCCAGAGAAGGCCAAAACCTCCTGGCCCTGGTCCAAAGATTTGTGTCATTTGCAGGGTCCTTTGATGATGGTCAAGTGGGTAGGACACCAGACTGTGATTCTGGAGTCCTTGGTTCCTAGCTCAGCCACTGATTCCTGGCATGACTGTGAGCAAAGGACTTAAACTGTGCCTCAGTTCCCCTCTGCTAAATTGCGGATAATGTTCCTATGTGTCACCGTAGCATCATGGGGCTCAGAGCCACTGGTGATTATGAGGTATTCAGGCTGTGCAGCAACTGGGGCTGTATAAATACTAACTTAAGATTCTCTGGTTGCCCTCTCTCAATGCCAGAATTGAGACCTAGGAAAGAGTTTTCAGATTGGGCTGGTAACTCAGAAGATTTGGCCATTTATATAAATATGGCAACCTGCTTACTCTGTGGTTGTAGCCAGGTTGGCCCAGGAGATGACGCAGATGTGGTGGGTGAGGTCATATCAGTTATTGACCAACTTCTAGTGTTGGAAGGGGGCAAGCTTTTGAGCTTCATGGAGTTGTACTTCCCACCTGCAGAAAGTGACCAGTGCATCTGAGCAAAACACAAGTTGGGACAGACAATGAAGCATGAGGATTTCACACACTCTGTAGGACATTTGGGGTACGTCTAGACTACATGGCACCGTCGACGGAGCCATGTAGATTTGTTTGTTCGGCAAAGGGAAATGAAGCCGCGATTTAAATAATCGCGGCTTCATTTAAATTTAAATGGCTGCCCCGCTCTGCCAATCAGCTGTTTGTCGGCAGATCGGGGCAGTCTGGACGCTCCCCTGTCGACATGAAAGCCCTTTATTGACCTCCCCAGTAAACCTCATCTTACGAGGCATCCAGACTAGCACGCTGAGCCGACAAACAGCTGATCAGGCCCCCGGGGGTTCCCAGCCACTTAAATTTAAATGAAGCCGCGATTATTTACATCACGGCTTCATTGCCCTCTGCTGATCAGCCTAATCTACATGGCTCCATCGACGGAGCCATGTAGTTTAGACACACCCTTTGAGATGCTGGTTTCATAATGCAATCTAGATCTCTGGTACAGTGCCCTGTTTTGGGAAGTAATAGAGATGTAGCCGTGTTAGTCTGCTCTTGCTGAAACAAAAGACAGGACTATGCAGCACTTTAAAAACTAACAAGATGGTTTATTAGGTGATGAGCTTTCGTGGGCCAGACCCACTTCCACAGATCAAATAGTGGAAGAAAATTGGAAATATATATGGTCATGCCAATTTTCTTCCACAATTTGATCTGAGGAAATGGGTCTGGTCCACAAAAGCTCGTCACCTAATAAAACATCTTGTTAGTCTTTAAAGTGCTGCATAGTCCTGTCTTCTGTTTTGGGAAGGTGCTTTAAAGCTTGTATCCTAGATTTTCTCTTCAAAAAAGAGGGCCTGGCTTTACAGAACAGATGTATTGGTTTGTCTGAGTGGTTGCTAGGTCAGTGGAGGCAATTGTGGTGATCTGTGGGGTTTTGGCAGATAGTCTTTTGTAGGGTTCTATTTTTGACTAAACACGGAGACACAAATTGTTGGGGAAAGCCAGAAAACTAGTAACACACCCTACTGACTCTTAGCCTTTAATTGCCCACTTCATTTTTAAGCGGTCTCCTACAGCATGCCTGAAACCCATATGTTTAACAATCTGTCCTCCCTTGTATTTACCTGGGATACACTCATCTTCTCCAGATCTGAGGAAGAGCCCACGCTACAGCTAGACTATGGAGTTTTTCCTGGAGTTATCCTGGAAAAACTCCACCGTGTCCAGAGAACGTGTCTGCTCTTCTGCTTTTTTTTGCGGAAGAGCAGACGCACTCCTTCATAAGCCCTGTCTTCCTCCTTCCACGAAGAAGAAGGCCTCTTCTGAAAGAGGAGCTTTTTCTGAAATTTGGCCCAGTGTAGACGGGCAAAATTTCGAAAAAGCCTCTTCCGACAAAACTATTGCAGAGAGCAATTGGTGTACCTTTTGCCGAAGAAAAGCAGCAGTGTAGACCTAGCCTCAGAAAAGCTGGAAAGCTTTTCCCTTCCCACCCTAAGACGTTGAAACACATCACCTCCCCCACCTTGGCTCGCTCTTACTCCGTTATTTGGCATTCTCCCTCCAGGTGGTTTAACAGCTGTGATGTACACCGATGTGCTGCAGACAGTGATCATGGTCCTCGGGGCTTCAGTTCTCTCCTTTATAGGTAAGAGGAACAACAGGCCATGTTACCTCCAGCTTGAGTCAAACCACATTTGTGGTCTTGAGCTAGGCCTTATGGAGCATTTCCCCCTCTTTCTACAGAGTATTGGAGGCACTAGCATAGTTGGCACCCATCTCTATAAACCAAGCCAGTGCCTCCTCTTCCTTGTTTTATTCCAAAATGCTTATTTTAGTCATGCAAGGTGCAGAGCGCCTTTTGCTCCCTTCATGAGTTGATGGAGCAGCTTGCTGGATCAGAGCCACAGAGTCAGACTTGGCTCTTACACGTGTGTGCGTAACTCGTTGAGTTTCAGCCCTCTCTACTGCTTTCCTTCAGTGGCGTTACTCTGGGGGAACAGGTGAATAACTGGCACAAAAACTACACTTGGCTCTAAGCCTTCCTGCCAAACAGCAACCCACATGCTGCCTCCTGTGGCTTCATGTTTTTCTGCCTCAGCACTTCCGGAAGGTTTTGATCAGAGACTCAGGGTTTTAGAGACACTTCCTTGCCAGTCCGGGTAATGATGCCACTGCGGAGGGAACTCTGTGGTGTTGGTGCTGGCTCCCCACAGAATGCACCAATCGGAGCAGAATATCACAGATGCCCCATTAGCATCCCAGAGTTTCTGGGTGGAACCCTGCCCCCTCACACACCTGCCCCTTCACACAATGGGGCCGCCAGAATCTAGGGGCGAGGACGGCGAGGAAGCGAGGAGAAAAGCAAAGCAAGAAGGAGAGAGAACAAGATGGACAAACCACCCGGGACCCGGGTATCGGACCTAACCCATGGGCTGCTTCCTTCGCAGGGTTTGAAAAAGTCGGCTGGCTGGAAGGCCTGAAAGAGAAATACAGCACCGCGATACCCAGTGTCATAGTCCCAAATACCACCTGCCACCTCCCACGCACTGACGCCTTCCACATGCTCAGGAACCCTATCACCGGAGACATACCTTGGCCAGGGCTTATCTTCGGCCTCTCTGTGCTGGCTACTTGGTGTTGGTGCACTGACCAGGTAAAGTAAGTCTCTGTTCTCTTTCTCTTTCTCCCCTGCCACCGTTCGTCCCAATAACCTCCTCCCTAGCTGGCTGCTCTGGCTGCCAACTCTGCGAACATGTGTGTCCATCTGTCTGTCTTTTGGGGGAGCACCGCTGCATGGCTAGTCAGCTCCTGTTGCCATTCAGGGCTTCTAGGAGGGGTGGTTTTAATGGTGGGGAGCAACAGGCTGCCATGTTTTCCCCCCATGTGCACCGCGCGCTGGTGAGCATGTGCGCTCTCTTTATGGAGGGAGGGAGTAAAAGCCAGGATGTCTGTGTTCTTCCTAGCTCGGCCAACAATACCATAGAATCACAGAAGACTAGAGTTGGAAGAGCCCTCAGGAGGTCCTCTAGTCCAGAGGTGGCCAGCCTGTTACAGACAAAAGCTGTTGAGCAAAGCTGTTGAAGAAAGCAAAAAAAAAAAAAAAAACACTGCTCCTTTAAGAAAGCCTTGGGTTGGCTTTTTGGCCACATCAGGTGCCCATCAGCTGGCACCATCTTGCTTTGCCCTGCCAGACGGCTCCCCTGCACCCGGGGAGCTCAGTGAACCGGAGGCCATTTCTAGGGACACAGGGGCAGTTTCACGAGCCACGGGGGAGGCTTCTCGAGCCACACTTTAAGCAGGGAAGAGCTGCGGATTGACCATGACTGTTGTAGTTCAACCCCTGCTCCAGGAAGGACCAGTCCCAACTATGGAGCATGACTCTGTGCAAGTTGCTTAAATATCAGAGTCCTCATCTATAAGCCATTCATTTGAAATTCCTGCGCATGAGGCGCTGAGGAAGTGTGAAGTATTGCATGGCTGCTGATCCCCACCCACTTGAAGTCCTTCATCTGATCATGAATTAGGATCCTCTTGTGAAATTTACTGAGCAAACACAAAAGCCTAGTGTGGGCTCAGAGCAAAGAGCAACGGGCATGTCTTTAGAAAGCTTGGCTTTCTGGGCACGTCTACACTGTGGGGAAGATTGATGCTGCTGTGTTTGATCTTCTGGCGTGCGATTGAGCAAGTCTAATGAAGACCCACTAAATTGAACTCAGAGGGTGCCCCTATCGGCACTGGTATTTCTGCTCCTCAAGAGGAGTAAGAGAGGCTGAGGGGAGTGTTTGTTTCTGTCGACCTCCCACTGTGTGGATGGTGATTTAAGATATGTTGACTCCAGCTACACAATTAACCTAGCTGAAGTTGTGTATCTTAGGTCAACCTTCTGCTGCATTGTAGGCCAAGTCCTCAGTGTTCAAAGGTGGGAAATTCAGGTTTGCTCACTGCAATCCAGTGGGATTCATAACCAAATGCCATATTCTTTTTTTCGCTCCCTACTCTGACCTCTTGCCTCACGTTGCTGAGGGCACCGGTGAGCAGCGGCTGCATTTCACCCTAGAGGTGGCTGCGTTGCATTGCAAGTTGATGTGACTCCTGTAAAGGGCAACGAGAAATTTCCTCACTGCCAACAGACCCTCGCTGGTGCCAGCAAGACTGACCCATGCAACAGAGATCTGCAGGAGAGATCTGCAGGTTTGGGAGCTAACCCTGCTGCGGTTCTGCTTTTTAAAAGTGTTTAGAGCCGGCAGGCTTTTAATACATTTCAAAAGCAGAAGGGGAACAGCAAGCTGGAACAGCTGAGTCCTGGCTCACGCTGGGTCCTGTCGGCTGCGCGTCTGCTTTTTAAATATATTAAGAGCCGGCTTCCCTTGCCCCCATGGACATGGTGAACCAGCTCCTTCTCCCCACCCCGCAGCAAGGGGTGGGAACGTGACTAGTTGAGGGACTAACTGACCATCTGCTAAGCTTATGCTTATTGGATAGTCAACTAGTCACTTCCATCCCTAGTCTGCAGTGCAGCTCAGAGAGGAGAATTTCACCATAGGCTTGCGAAGGGCTTCGGGATCCTTTGAGACGAACGCATCCTGCACTCCATGATGATTCTCTCTGCAGGGTTTTCTTTTAACTCTCTCCATTCTCTTACTGGCTGCAGGTTATAGTGCAAAGGTCTCTCTCTGCCAAGAGCCTCTCCCATGCCAAGGGCGGATCGGTGCTGGCAGGTTATTTGAAAATGCTCCCAATGTTTTTCGTGGTCATGCCGGGGATGATCAGCCGAGCTCTATATCCAGGTACGCTCATGTGTCCTACCATTGGACGGAGCAGGGATTCTCTGTGTCGAAGCCTCCTGAGGGGGCAGACATGCTGCAGCTCTGGGGCTTGACGATTCAAAGCGGCCTGGGGCTGCCAGCCACCATTACTGTGGGAGCAGCTGGAGGCTTGGGCCCTTTAAAGCTCCCCCAGGGCCCACTGTGGAGTGCTGCAGAGCTCCAGGCAGTAAGCATGGGATAGCACGGAAGAGGGAGGGGCAGCATGCTTTGGCTGGCGCTGAGGGACAGCTGCTGCAGCCCCACCCCTTCTGCCCTAGGGCCTGTCCTTTCTAGGAGCGTAGAGCCCCCCCTCTCCCCCTCCCCCCCCCACACACACATACACATACCTTGCCCAGCAGCCTGGCGAGTCTGGCAGCTCACTTGGCCCCAACGTTTATCCCCACCCGGCACTCACATGCCTTAGCAATTCAGAGGGAGTTTTCAAGGCCCAGACTCGACTTCCGGGTTTGGGGTGCTGCTTTAGGACATGTCTGGCCTATGCCATTGGGACAGCTGCAAAGGGCAGCTGTCATCGCATTGTCTTGTAGACACTGCACATGTCCAGTGCTTTTTTTGTAAGAAAAAAGGTGCCGGTACTCCAGGCTCAAAGTTTGTTATGCAAAAAAAAAAAAAAAAGATGCACCGGGTCACGGCCCCTTTAAGGGCAGGGCATGGTGTCCCGGGCAAGCTTCCATCGGGAGCCAAGCCGCCCCAGGAAATAGGTGCCGGTACGCCAGAGGGGAATCCCATTCAATTAAAGTAAGATGGGAAAATAGGTGCTGGGACACTGTCCCAGAGCGTACCGTCACAAAAACGACACAAATTGGTTTGATTCAGATCAGCGAGCACTCAGGACCTAGAAAACTCCTAGGGGGGGTGGATCGGAGCCTGAATCCTGCTGTGACTTGGGTCCTTGCCCTGCCATTTTGCTATGAGGAGGCAGGTCATGCCACAGATCCAAATCAGGTCTCCGTAGCACTGTACGGATGCGATTGCACATCCAGCCACTCTGAGCCCACGTTTACAATGCAGTGTGGGTGATCAAGCCTGGCTTGGAAACACTGAGTCCACAAGCCTGGGTCCCATGCATGTGGGTTTACAGTGCAGTGTAGACTCACCATTACAGACGTAAGGGGAGTAAGGTACAGAATCTGGTTTCTTCCTTTGATACAATCGTAAAAGCGCATCCTGCTTCGTCATGGGTTCTGCAGGGTAGGCAACGGCCAGGCTGAACTCCTTCTTGTGGAAAGAACCAAGATCCCCTCATCTCTGCCACCAAGGTGCAAGCTGTGTTAGACCCGGCCTCTAGTCATGGCTGGGCCACAGATAGAGCTGGGTGAGCCTGCTGTGAGCTTTAGATAACACTGCTGACTCTTTTAGCACAGGCCATAAAAGACCCCTGAGCTTAGAACCAGAGGTCCCTGGTTCAACCCCAAATGCCACCAACCCACCTAAGGGTGAAGAGTTCCATGTGCTCACAACCAAGTTTGCAATGGGTAACAATCAAGCTCCACCCAGAATGTTGTTTGGCTCCTACTGCTATAGCTTGGAAAACCGTCTTTGCTGTTTTACCGACTTATCTTATATATATGGGGATATGTCTACACTACCCCGCTAGTTCGAACTAGCGGGGTAATGTATGCATACCGCACTTGCTAATGAAGCCCGGGATTTGAATTTCCCGGGCTTCATTAGTATAAGCGGGGAGCCGCCATTTTTAAATCCCCGCTGCTTCGAACCCCGTGCAGCGCGGCTACACCGGGCT